TTATATTAGTCGGTGCATTGAAAGAAGGTGAGGTGGCGGAGGAGGAGAGAGTGAAAACGGGGAGGCAGGGGCGAGGCGATGAGGCCAAGTACTCATCGCACTTGGCCATTTTTTATTTCGTACGAATTTTCTCTAATATTGACGCACCGGCTGCAAAGAAATTCAAATGTCTTGAGGCTATCTATCTCCCGCCTACCCCCACTCTATGTCCTGCTACCCAAAGCTAATGTAGTCTATGCTACGCACACTGACAGATATTCTAACGAAACGAACAAACAAACAATCGACCTGATCTTCTTGACTAATAAACTGGCTACTGGCTCTTCTACGGCCCAGACGCAAGCATTTCCTTGCAGTTGATTTTCAGTTCAGTTCTAAGCGAACTGACTGGGAGCGTTTGTTCGTTCGTTCCTTCATTTGCCCATAAAGTTAATATAGATGAATAGTTTTCTCGTGGTCTGGTGTTATTGCTGCTGTTGTTGTTGTTGCTCAATCTGTAGAGTGGCTGTTGACTGCTTACTACAGACTGACTGCCTGTGAACAGCAAAGTATGCGTTCGGAATAATAAAAACATTGACCATTGCCAGTCAGTCCGCCCATAGAATGTACGAATTCCCTGTCGCCCCCCTCGCCCTCTAGTCCTATTAGAAGATTGGCATTCCTTGCCATGATTATTGTCGGCTAAAAGTGTAGCTGTTGTTGTGGTTGCTTTGTTGGTTGTTGCCACTGCAGACGTATCTAAAAATATCCCCAAATGTTGTTGCTGCTGTCGTTGCCTTCTTTTTTTATTTCAGTTCATTATTTTGTCAGTTTTTTTTTCTGGTTTTCACAAAATCTATGGGCTTCTGGTACATTTATTTGCATGTTTTACTAGATTTTGTACATTTTGTAGGAAATTGAAAGGGGGACAGTACGCAACGACAACATTGGGTCAAAATCTTCGACATCAATGTTGTTGTTCTTGTTGTTGTTTGGCCACATAATTAGCAACAATGTTGTGGGGGAATTTTCAAAAGCGATGTGAAAAGTTAACACAAAATCTCTTTTGAGTTGACAAAACACATCAAGGATATCGAAAATTTCCATATTTGCCATTTATTAATCTCCATTATGATAACAATAAAATTCCCATAAATTTCCATTCAAATCCTTCCGTTTGTACACTTCGCTTTCAAAACGACATTTCCTGTGACAAAGTAATATTCAGCGTTTTACCGACCCCCGCCTAGCCTATATGTAGCTTGGTCCCATCAATATTCAATGAATTTCAATTAATTTCGTGGCATATTTGTTTCCTTTCTCTTAGCTGCCTCTACCTCCTCCTTCGACTCCTGTATTATTATTTTACCAGCAATTTCCTCACGTGCGGTTTAGCCCCCGCCCCACTCTTCATTGCCTTTTCTTCTTCTTCCTTTTTTTGCTTATCTGTTTGCAGCTCACGCATTTGTCATTGGCACTTATAATTTATGCAATCGACATCGACAAACATTTCTCCATGAATGTAAAAGCATTTTAATAGATTCCAGAGACTGGGGGACCACAATTTCCATTTATAGATTAAAATGCCCTGTGTGTGATAATAGATTTCGGGTAGGAATTTCTTAATTGAATGAAAATAAAATGTTACCTTTGGACATGGTGTGGAGGGGGGTGAATTAAATGTTTGGGAAGTGTGGAATTAAAATGTCATGTGTTTAAGGATTTTATGTGTAATCCTTGAAGGTGTGTTGAATGGCGAAAAGTCATAAATGAAAACTACCTCTTAGGATATATTTGGACCTATATTATATTGGAAAGTTTTTCTGTTTTTGGACTTGTAGTGTCAATATTTCGGAGTGTTTTTACTTCTTTGATTCCAGTCGGGGCCATATTAAAATGGTGGAGAATATAAAGGAACAAATTTTTCCATATTTTTCCAAAAAATAATTACATATTTTCTGTCGATATCGAGTTCTTTTTTTTTTCTTGTGTTGGCCCGTTTTATTGAGGGAATTTATAACTGAACTCTATGCGCTTTTGAACGATTCTTCAGTTACTATTTTTAGGTCAGACTTCCAAAGGCCAAGGAGGTATATTCAAAGGTTTAATGTTTTTAAATTTTGCTACCACCCTGTTCAATCTTATGGGTTGTAGACCTCTAGTCTCTTAACAAAACTTGTTCTTGTATCCCCCATTAGTAAAAGAACAATACGTTGAAGAAAAATTATAAAAAATATAATTTTAGTGCCAGATTTTCTTCAAATCTCGTTCATCTCAAAATATCTGTCAAAAATCCAATATATCTGCTCACTTTCTCCTCACAAAAGCGATTTTTTTTGTAAATATCAAGTTAAAAGGTATCAGTCGGTATTGCCGATGGATGTATGCCCTCAGCCAATGTGGCTGAACTTGCATTATGATTATTCGGACTGTTGACTCTTTATGGAGGCGGCTTCGAAAGAGCGGGCCAATATTGTCCATTTGGCATATGACCAAAGTCTTTATATGACATTTGCGATAATTTTTGGAAAGTGTTGAAATGTGCGTGAGGTACCAGATATAGTGGACCGACGTATTCCACTCCATCTAATACTGAAAAAATTGGGTTGTGCAAAATTTAAGAAATATCGAAAATTCATTTTCGATTTTATACGAATAATTGTGAATCAAAATTCAACCTTTTGTGGGGAATGTACGAGAAGGAGTGGACCGATAAATTCCATATTCACATCAGATTTCTGGTTGAGGGAAATATTTAGTTACACCTAGTTTGAAAAAAATCGCTGTCATGTTTCGCAAATTATTAGAGATATAAGTATTGAAAATTGTGAGCCTTTGTGAGGATGGTACAAGAATGGGTGGACCGATATCTATCATCTTTACACCAGATCTTGTGTTAGTAGAAATATTGGAATGTATCGAGTTTGAAAGGAATCGGATGCTCATTTCGCGTTTTAAGAGCCTCATGGTTATTCACAAATTTTTGACACTTTGTGTGTTGGGTACTTGATATAGTAGGTCGGTATTGTAAAATTTTGCAGCTGACCTAGCACTAATAATTTGAAGATTTCCAAAGTTTGTCCGAAATTAGATGATACTTTTTGTTCCATAGGGAAAATTGTCTATTCGGACAATTTTCACCTTTTTTGGGGGGAAGGTACTTAATGGGTGGGCCGATATTGCCCATTTTTTGTCCCTGACCTAGCACTGATGCAAATATTAGGATTTTCAATGTTGGAGGAAAATCGATTTTTTTTTGTTTGAAAATTTTGACCTTTTGTGTGGAAGGTACCAGAAGGAGTAGACCGATATTGCCCATCTCCGAACTCGATCCAAATCGGATACTGCCTTCGTAAATTATCGTGCGCACCAGCCAGACAGACGGTTGGACACCCTTAGATAGACTCCAAATGTCCTAAAACGGATTTGGTCCAAAGAGATTTACGGTCCAAAACTTTTTTTTTTTTTTTTTGATGAGGCACGTTTTGCCCGTATTAAATATATACCATTTGTAGCCATTTGGCTAAGGGCATAAATAAATAGAGAAAATTTTCGGATTAAGATTCCTTATAAATCTTATTTTTAAGGTATATTGTGTCTTCAGCAGAATTATGAATAAAGAAATACAAGGATTATTTTACTTCAAAATGTTAATATGGTTGAAAACTCCTTTAAAACATAATCGTAGCAAGTCAAAATGTTTTACAAATTTATTTGTTATAGAATTATTAGAATACATAAAAGTCTAAACCTTAAGGTGAGGTTACATAAGCAGCTTAGCATCATGGCTAGCCATATTAATGTCAAATAATAAGGGGGAACGACGGCAGAATTTAAGTGCGGCTTAGCATTTCTTTATGTCATGTCGCAAAATATGCCATGCGAAGACTTTAAGCTGCTTATATACCCACACCTTTATTTCGACTCCAGGAATTACGAATTATTAAAAAAACACATTTTGGGGTTAAAGCCCTACTTTATGTGAGTTTCTGCAAAATTCTCCTTCAAAACATCATTTTAGAAGCATGACATCAGCGACAAAAATATTCTTCATCAAATTTCCCTAAAAGTTACCAAGAAAAAATAATCTCCATATTTAATTTTTACCAAGGAAAATTTTCCAACAATGTTGATAAAGACAACATGAAAATATTTCCTAGTTTTTTGATCACCCTCATTTGCTTTGGTGACTTATTGTGAAAATTGGTTAAGTCTGTGACGTAATTTTTCTAAAATGTTGTTTTAACATTTATGAATACCTGTTTGGGTAAATTTAGACTTTTAGGAGGTAATGTTGACTTCAGTGTCTCAACTTTCAAAATTCTCTCTCTATTTGCTTTTTTTTAAAGGACTTTTGAGTTATCAAGCACTCATTTAACTTAACTTATTTAAATATCAAACACACCTATTATATCTTTGTTTACAAACAATGTTATTCAGGGTCACCCAGAGAAAATTGTATCTTATTTTAAGGCTGTTGATTGATGCCTCTCATTATGAGGAGAATCACCTAAAGATGACAGCCATAAAACTATTTATTTATAGGTATGTCAAGTTGATGTGTTACATTTGGGCAGGATCAAATTTTGGTTATTTTTGTGGTCTTGCAGGGCGATAGAGGGGAAAAGTGGTGCATATGTTGCTGCTTGGCCATTTTTGTAAAGAGTAATCGTAATAACATGCATACCAAAGGACACTCATTTTGTAAGCCATTTTTTTAACTCCTTTGGGACACATTTTGCTATGTTCCAAAGAAAAATGCAATATGGAACGGTTTTCATTTTTGTACATTATTATACTGTAGGTAAGTGTATTAGTGGGTTAGAAAATTAGAAAATAGTTGGTCAACTATCGAGGAAAAGAAGGCATTTTATTGCTGTTGTTGCTGGAATCATTCACAAGAGGAACGAGGGATTTTAATTCAATCAAAAACTTGCAGGGTTTTATTTGAGATCAGTTGGAAATTATTTTGTTGTTGTTTTTGGAATAGGGTCTAAAGGTCACAGTGAACCCAAACTTACCCATAACCCTGGGCGGACAAGTAGAGTGATCAGGACCTGTGTGATCAATTCGAATAAATGAATAGATTTTTGTCAGATTTTTTACACTTTGATTTGTTGTTGGGTGTTTTATTTTCTTAGAAGGAGTTGAGTTGAACGGAGAACGTCACATTTCATTCTCTGTTTCATTTTTTGTTAAACATTTAGAAACAATACATTTTCTGTTCTTCCTTTTTTTCTTCTTCTGTGTGTGCGGTCTTTTCTTTTGTCGATAGATTGATTGCAGAAGAGTTAGTCACAAAACTACAAAACTTGGTTAAATCTCTAGAAATATATATTTTCTTGAGTGCGTATGTGTGTGTTTGTTTATTTGTTTGGCTGATGTGTGGCCTTCTTCGGTTTTGCAAAAAGGCCCGTTCTACTGCTTATCTAAACTGTGTATTTTAGTCACGTTTGCTATTTGCTTTTAACTCTACTAAAACTCTTAAAGAAACTGCAACAGCTTAAAAACGATTTCTTCATTTCCACTTCTTTTTTTTTTTGGTGGAAATTGAAAACCTCATGAAAAATAATTATTCTTTTCTCAAGAACCAAAAAAATAATCTTTACAAATAACACAACAAAAAAGAAATGAAACATAAAATACTCACAGAATAGCACAGCTACAAAGTCGGTGTCTTCGATGATTTTCAGCAAAATCTTGGCATTGACTTCTTCAATGCGGTCGGGCAGATCCATGGCCTCCAAGGAGGTGAGGAAATCGAGTACACCCTCTTCATCCATCAAATCGCCATCGTAGATAATTGGTTCTTTTTCCCTGTAAATTTGGATGCGAATTTGTGTGTGAAAAATTGGGTATTCGATTCAGTATGGTCATAATGAAGGGGTCCAAGTGACACATAGTCTGCTCGGCATCGATTTATTATTACCTGAAATATGTCAGTGCTGGGAAATTCTTGATGCCGTATTGTTTGGCTAAACGTTTGTCGTTGATTTTAACGAAATCCACACCGAATGAATCAGTGTCATCGTCGATTTTTTCGAGTTCGGCTAACACTTTGTCACAAGTAACACAGCTTCGTGCATCTGTAAAGAAACAAAATATGATGATGGGTTAGAAAATATTGGAAAGGAATAAAATGGGTATTTTTGTGAAAAAAAAATATTTAAAAACAAAATAAAATTGGGTGATTTCAAAATATTTTATAAGTTTAAAGAATCAACTATTGATGGCATTTATTATCAGTCTCTCAAGACCCTCAGGAGTGGAGAGAATCGTAGTAGTTTTTGGAGTTAAAAAAAAATTATCACTGATTATACGCATCGAAAATTATTTTTGATGAAATGTTGACTTTAAAGCATCTAAAGCATCAAGTAACGCTGGCTTGGAAACGACACCCTTCGAGTGAAAAAATTAGGCTCCCAAAGATCAAAAATAAACTGGAGATGATGGTTAACAATTAAAATTGGAGTATAGAAATCAAAGACCCTCAGCCACATGGCTACAGAGAGAACATATCATTTGATACCTCCAAAACGTGTCTCAACGAAATATCGGTTTTATATACTAGGTCTCTTTGAACCAAACTCGTTTTAGGATATTTGGAGTCGATCGGGGGTGACCATCCGACCATCTATCTGCCTTTTTATCTGGATGATACGGGCGATAACTCTCAATGGGAGTATCCAATTTGATCCAAACTTGGTCCATCCTAATATTATTATCAAACTAAGATCGAGTTCGAGATGGGCAATATCGGTGAGAAAATTGACAATATTGTCCCTATCAAGTGCCTCTCCCACAAAGGGTGCACATTTTGAACAATTATAACACTTATAAAATGTGTCTTTAAATTTTTCGCATTCAAATATTGCTACATATACAAGATCTGTTATGAAGAAAGGATAGAACGGTCTACTCCTTCTGGCACCTCCTCCATAGGGGGTCAAAATATGGTATTACCATAAAGCTCGTAAAACGCGAAATGAGTATCCGATTTATTTCAAGTTCGGTGCATCTGAATAACAACTTAAGACCAGGTGTAAAATGAAATATATCGGTCCACCCCTTCTGGTACCTCCCCCACAAATGGTCAACATTTCGAATAACCAAAAAGATCGTTAAAACAAATTGAGCATCCAAATCTCTTTAAATTTCACACATCCTAATATTTCTACTAAAACAATATCTGGTGTGAAAATTAAATCTATAGGACCATTATTTCTGGTACTTCCTCAAAAACGGGTCAGAACTGGAATTACCAAAACTCTCATAAAATGAGAGTTTAATTTTAATCTTCACTCATTCCAATATTTTTACCAACACAAGATCAGGTATGAATGGAATGACCCACTTTTTCTGATACCTTCCCTACAAGAGGTCAATATTTTTGATAAACATCCGATTCTTTTCAAATTTTACGTATCGCACATATCTATTACCATAAGATCTGGTGTGAAAATATATCGACCCACTACTTCTGGTACATCCCCGCGCGGGTCTACATTTTTGAATAACAAAAACCTCATGAAACACTCATCAGTCTCTCTTCAAATTTCGCACTTCCCGATATTGTTACTAATACAAGATCTGGTGTGGGATGATAGATATCGGCCCATCTTTCTGGTACCTCCTCCACAAAGAGTCACAATTTTTAGTATTTTTATCTCTCATAATTTGCAAAACAAAGGTCCGATTTTTTTCAAACTTTGCATATCGAACTATTTCTCTCAAGCAGAGCCCTGATATGAATGTGGAGTTAATCGGACCACTCATTCTCGTACCTCTTTAACAAAAGATTAAATTTTTGATTAAAAATTGTTGGAATAAAATTGAAAATAAATTTTCGATTTTCTTTAAATTTTGAAAATCTCTATATTTTTCAGTAAAATTAAACATTTGGGTCCACTATATCTGGCATATTTCAAAAGTATCCAAAAATTATTACATATCTCATATAAAGTGAAGGAAGTATTCGATATAGTCCAAATCTGGCATATTGTAATATTTATATCAGACTTACATCATATGCGAAATGGATAATATTAGCCGATTCCTTCGGAGTCTCTCCCATAAAGATTCAACTTTTTGAATAATCATAACGCAAGCCAAAATATATTTATGTAGTGGAATATTGGCTGAGGGTATAAATCTGTCGACAAAATCGAGTGATAAAAGACGTTTTTACGAACCGAAGTCGGATAGCGTTTTTAGCACGATTTTTCAAAGATCTCTCTGAGCAATCGAAATTCCTTTTTATTTTTGAAGAGACCCCTCAGAGTAATAGAATTTGTTTTTGTAAAAGTATTTGTCAAGACTTTTTGAAGAAGAAGGCGTGGAATTTTTCCAGATTTTTTTTTTAAATTTAAATAAAAAAAAATAATAAAAAATAAAATGACTCTTAAACACGAATTTTCTAGAGCCTCAATTTAAAAAAAAAATATATCCTTGAAAGCAAACAACATTCTTTTCTAAGAATATTTTTTTTTAATTTCACTTCAGAGAAATGAAAATAGTTTAGGTTAAGAACATTTTTTCACAAAACTTCAGAGCAATGCAATTGGATTGTGAGGATATTTTTAAAGGCCTTTCGTGGCTATCCACATGCTTGTTGAGAAAAAAATCATAAACGTGTATGTTGTAGGAATATCTTTAAAAAACCCCCCAGATTGGTGGGAAATAATTTTTTAAATATTTTTAAGCTTTTTTTAAATTTTATACATTCTTCTGAAATCTAGTAAAAGCTTGAGTATATTGAAACTAAGGTTTTCTCTTGAAAACTGTAGGCTGCCATGAAATGCCTAGTGCTTTCAGGAGTATTAAATAGTTTCGAAACTAAAAAAATCCTAATATTCTTAACTCGTTTGTATCTTGTGTTCTATAACAATAAAATATAAAAATATCTATGAATAAATTATTACTGAATACACAAAGCTATTAAATGCTATTTCCTCTCAATTAAAAATAATTGTCTCATCATCTAGGTTTAGTCACAAATACCAGGTAACCGATAGCTACCAAAATATTTCGCCGACTTATAAACGGAAATTGTTTTGCCATGATTCTCGGAAAGGAAGACAATAAAAATACACATTTATGAGCCACCTGACGGTGACCAACGACCACATGCAAAAAACCCCGACAGATATATGAGAAATTAATTGATGAATGACGCCTCTGACAGAATTCCTGGTCGCTTGAATCAGAAACGACCGAATGTGGTTGGTGGCCAACGTTTGTGGCACAGTGGGCGCCTTAACAAGTCCGCCATGGCTAACGTCTGGTGGCACAGCATGAAGACATCAACATCGTCATCTTCATCATCGGCCTCAGAATGAATTGCAAGAACTGCCACAGCAACAATGCCACAGCAACTACGATTCTCTGTTTCAAATTTTCTATGAATGAATTTTCTCAACATTTTTTTGTCTGTTTGTTTCGTTATTATTAATTGCTTGTATTCATTAATATTATTTAATTTCGTTTATTTTTTGCATTTCTTTTCGTTATATATGTGTTTGAGTGATGCTTTATCTTCCGGTTTTCCCTTTTTGCCTCAGTTGGCTGGCTTGTTGTTGTCATCGGCGGCGGCGGCGGCCTTATTACGAAACAGTGAAAACCACTGAGGTGTGAAAGTGAATCAAAAATCAGTGTTTGTCACCCCAGCAAAAGCAACAGTTCGAAATGGTTGGTTAGAACCCCGTACAAAAACAACAAGAGCGACACCAACAACAATACCAACAAAAGCACCCCGCATTGTCAATGATCAAAAACTTGTTGATTTTGTTTGGCTTTGTTTTTGTTTAATTCATAAAAACGGTTTTTGGGTTTCTGGTATGGATGTGGGTATGGATGGATGGATGAAGGATGGAATGGGATGGGTAGCATTCATTGTGAATGATGGCGACCGATATGGATTCGGTGGTGTTGTCATTCAGGCGGCATCAGCTACCACAATTATTTTAATGTATTTTTTTACTTTTAACGGATGTGTGATATTTGGGCTTAGCCGAATGTTTGACACGCTACAGTATTGGGGCGTATGGAAAATTTATAAGTCTGCCTTTATTCTGAAATTTTGTTTATCTGTTTATACCTCTGGCAACAACTCATCTTTCTGAGATGTCAGAAGAAAGTTCCCCAGAAAATTGCAATCTACTTGGTTGAGGGTTTTTTTTTATTCTTAGCCTTATGGCTAGAGAGGGTATATTTCCTTAGGTTTCCAAAATGTGAACCAATGAAATTATAGCTTAGGCGATTTTGGATTAAATCCGAATCAGGACATGCGGAGCCGATAGTAATAGCCTTACTTTAGTCAGGTTGGATTTGATTCTGCTGCCTTTTTGAGGAGAACATCCGATTTGGTTTAAACTCTGCACATCGTAAGATTTTTGACAAACTACGATTGCGTGCCTAGGTGGGGCTTGTCGCTCCACTTTATATTTTTTCGTCATAAAAGTTCTAAATTATTTTTTTTAAATGCGTCTGCCACTTCCTCAGCAGAAGTACATTTTAAAATTTTAGATTCGTTTCAACACTTCGTGTTAGCTCGTATCAGTACTCAAAACTCACAATTCCGTTAGACAAATATTTTTTATTAAAGCTTCATAAATTTTACTAAGTTTTCAGAATTTTAAGATTTTATATATTATTCAGGTTTTTCCTTTTTGGAAGAAATAATAGGAACATTTTTAACTTTTACTCAAAAAAAAAAATCTTCAAAATTTTTTATTTCGAAGTCTACGGGGGAGAATATTTACTAATGGACCCACTTCCAATTTTTCTGTTCATAACTATATCAACGTCTTTAACACTAGACACCAACAGTGGTCTCAAATAAAATTCCAGAATTTCAGCACTATGTCTTCATCCTATACCAAATTTAGTAACATTTAGTACGCATTACTAAAACAATCTATATTTCTCCATTCCAATCATCAACAGTGATTCAAAATTAATATCATTTAGTACCTCTGAAACAATTCTGGTACGCAAAACCACCAGCAGATCTCAACAGCGGATACCAACAGAGACCTCAATACCAAATTTGGTAACATTAGTACTTTTCGAACAATTATAGTAAATA